TTTTGACTTACTACGCATGCGCTGCATTTAAAGGGTTCTTTCGGTAACAAAGAAAAAGCTGAGAATTACTGAGTTCTTTGTATCTTTACTTTTTCTAACATATATTTATGATAAAAGACTAAGGCCATCAATACACTACGTTCAGTTATAGAGAAAAATAGCACGGATAGTGCGGGTGTTGAGTAAATAAAATGATCGCTCTATTGACGGCATGTTTGTTTTATGCAAGGTCACTATTGGTCAGCGGCAAGGTTTAAGTCCCATTGATGCACAGCAAGCAGATCTTCTGTACCAGACAGAGTGCGCCAGCAGGAGAGAAGCGGGAGGAGGTTTGTTGAGTGGTACATTTTATCAACAAAGCAAATGCTTTTTGCAGTTACCCTATTATCAACAAGGAGGCAAGAGGTCCTACTAGTCAGTGCGCTGGAATTCGGATCGAGAGGTACAGCTTCGATCCCTGGCCGGGTTCCTTGTGTTGTGTCCTTGGGCAAGACAATTTCACGGTGCCTTTCTCCACCCAGGTGTGAAACCCTGAGATAGACTAGCATACCATCCGGGTGAACATCCTTTTTTCCCTAGTCGCTTCATGCTACAAAAAAACCCCGTTGAACTTAGCATATAGCACAAAAGCTTACAAAGTATTGATAACTAAAATATCTTGCTGTATTTTTTAGGAGCGACCACTTTGCCACCAACAACTACTCAAATGCCAACAACATCAGGTACAATGATAAGAATCCAACGAGAAGCACACGTAATGTTTCCAAACACCACTCAATATTATCTATGATAACTCAAGGGCGGATCTAGGGAGAGGGTGCAGGGGTGCGCACCCCCCTCCCTCCTGATGGATTGTGGCTTTCTACTATAACTGGTATTCCGCATTAAAAACTCTTTGTGGTTTATTGGTGTTGAGGTTAAACGATGGTGCACCACCCCTAAGAAAAATCCTTGATCCGCCCCTGTAGCTTTATAGGTCGTTAGCGGGTATGAAAAAAATTAAGAAGGGAAAAAAAGAAAAGAAAAAAACAAGGAACGCCTGGATGTGATCTTTGGTATTGCGGTAACATCGACCCTGACAAGTTCATTGATGGCTTTGCTGCTTATTTTGTTTGAGCATTTGACGGCTTGTGTATTTTACCTCAAACAGTGAAATTGTACCTCTGCTCTCGTCAATGCATTAATCGGCAAATCAAAGATGAGAAATTCGTTACTCGCTATCTTTCGGGAGCTCGAGGTCATAGTTAAGACATAAATTATAGTGAGAGTTTGGTTAATATCGTAAAATCAACTCTAGATCAACACTAAAGCAAAGAATTGTAGTTGCTTGATATCCCGTATCGCTATTTGCCCTTTTTAAGAGCAACGACAATTCCTGGGGATTGGCGCGCGCGGAGGCGGGGGATGGGGAGGGGATGGTCCGTTACGGACTGTTGGATAACTAAAACTAAAAGTCTTTTCAATTTTAGGAACAACTACTTTGCCACCAACAACAACCCGGCTACCTCCAACGACAGGTACTTTAATGAAATATATTGGAGCAATTGCAAACAATGCGGCATCGCGACTTATACTGACTTTCGTGGAAAAACCCTGTTAATCCCATTCATGAAATCTGGGCTATTTAGTACTATTATTAAGCTCTTAAAACTATCTTTACTGATAGGTTTTTACTCTATACTTAGCTTTACTGTCAAAATAGACTGACTGATTGATCGATCGATTGATTGATTGATTTTTAGTGAGTGGGTAAGTGGGCTACTTACTGGAGTAAGTATATCAGTTGTCCCACAAATATACATGAATTGCGCTGTTTGTGTAATTAACGAGACTGATCAATAGCAAAAAAGAATTTTTATGCCTTGTCTGCCTGCCCTGAGAATAGCACCCATGCTACTGCCATGCCTGAGCTCTGTTTTTGGGAAACAAAGTGAACACAATAAATTGGAGAAATATGGCTAAGGTCCATAGCCCCTTTTATTGAAACATCAAAATTATTTATTATTTTGTGATACATAGTTTTGCCCAGTGAGGGTGAGGGCCAAGAAAACTCATGGAAAATTAACTAACAATGCTAAACTAGAGGACGGAGCATGGGGAGACTGAGGGAGTTAAAAAAACACTTCTATTCAACGCGCAGATGGTTAGCTTGGACGCGTGACCTACGCACAACCTCAGAGGGGGCCGGTTAACGTAACTATCATTGGCTCTTACCCCAGAACCAATACCTATTAATTACAGTATCGAAAACGCAAGGAGAGAAGACATAACAATTTTATTTGCGGCCAAATATTTGATATCATATAGCTCAGCATTTATACATTTTTCTTTTTCTATATCATTCAAGAACGAGATCTAGATTGTCTAATCCTCTTGGATAATGTTCTATAGAGCCTATTAATTCAGGTGAATATCCATGAGGAGAGAAGATTTCTCAGCTTAGCTTTGTTGTCATTTGTAGGAAGTTGTCAGGACAGAGACAGCAGATGTAGATATTGGCCCCGTTTCTTCTGCTGGTTCTACAGATACGTCAGAGACAACTGCAGGAAAAGATGCCGGCGCTGCTAAGCGGGATATGAAACCAGCAGCTTAATTCTTGTCTAACGAGTTTATTCAGCAAAGGATCTATTTTCGCCTTGTTCATTTTATTGTCTTCTGTTTTTTTGTTTTTCGTTATTTATTAGTTAAACTCTTAAAGGAACTACGAAGCGTGCGAAGGGCGTTTCTTAACACCCTTACCCCATTTCAGACCTCTACAATTACTGCAAATCTCTGATACACTACCTCAGCGGGGCAGAAGTGGCTTGAAGTTGCCTAAAAGTTTCAGTATAGGCTTTAAATTTTTCAAACCTAGTTTTGACAAATAAACGTAGACAATTTAAGGCTAGAATGCAAAAAATACCTTATTTCAGACCAACACGATTTTGTGTAACTGGGGCGACAAGCTAAAGGTTCATTGATACTTATAGGAAGATGAAGCGCAAATCAGCTCTCTAAAATCATTTAAATCAACCCGAGGTCAGGAGTGAACATACACACTTACAGTTATCTATGTATACATAGCATAAGACAATTTCAGGTCAAGAACTTCACAGACAGACAAAAAAAAAAATAAAATAAAATAAAATAGGGTTGATGTACTAAGTTTTCAACGAACAAAGATTTTCCAGACGTTACCAGAAGTCACCCCTGTGTAAATGTCATCGCATTCCCATCTGTTGGAATTAGGAGCAATCCAAAAGACACGCCCATAGAACGCAACAACAGGGTGGTCGTACAACCTAGTTTGATCCCTCATGTGGCCCCATTTGCCAACGTTAAAGGATCCATCATATCCCCACTTACTGCAGATTCCAGCTAAAACCGAGTCATCGTCATCCATTTTCACGTACGAACCACAGGAAGCTGGCTGGGTATCGGTCTGTCCGCTGAAATACTGGACTACAGCTTCACCAGAACTATTTTTCGTCGTGATCACATGGAACGTGCGTTGTTTTCTGCAGAAGAATCTCAGTTGAGTGAAAGACAAATGTGTTCTCAGCTGATTCATGGCAGTCTTCGAGAGAACCTTTGGAGAGTTGCTTACTCCTCGGTATGACGTCTCAACTGGGAAATTAAAACGTCTGGAAGAGTTGCCCACCACAACGTCAGAGACAAGAAGCCAGCCACCTTAAATCAAGCGAGAATTGATGGTCAACGGAATAGTCATGTAGCCGTCGGTATTGAGAACTATGCAAGCCTCAAGTTTTGTTATTAAAATAACATTATTTATTCTGAACAACTTGCTAAACGCGGTTTCGAGGATTTAGATGCATGCTGCTGTGACATTTGAGAATAAAGCGTTCGGATAAATATAACAACTATGAAACATGCACCATATTGATTATGATATAAAGGCACCATAGGAATGTTTTTGGAAATTTTGTGCAAATCTTGATGTTCAAAGAAATATAATTATGTTATCTGGTGTTTGTGTGGCGCCACTGAATAGAGCATTTGCATAAGAATAGTACTCATAAAACATTTTTACCATATCGACATTAGTTTAGTACCATATTGGCCGAATAATTTTTTCATAAATTTTGAACAAATTTGATAAAATATGATATATATATTTCCAGGGTTTGTGTAGCAGCCAGTGTTTGGAATTAAATTACTGGAGATGTGATGTTGCTTTTAAAGATTAGTTTCTTTTACCTCCGCAACTAATCGTCTACATACATGAACCTTTTACCTCCGTCAGTTGTCATGTCACAGTAGACATTTAAAGGGTTTCCATTCTTCTCAGGGTCGATCCAGTACTTTCCGTTTTTTCTAGAGACTCCAAGGTCCCGGATTTCTTTACAGGAATGAGCCGGGTCGTTTGAATACAAACCCAGGGTTGCTACAACAAATAAATATTAATAGATTATAGAAATAGGCAAGTCTCTGTGGAGTTTGAAGAAGATTGACGAACCAAGGGAACTTCCCATCGCCCAAATATTCCGGTATGAATTTCAAGAAATTTTCAGTGGCGAACGGAACAGCGTCTCCCTGAATTTTTCGGAAAACAGCGAAATCCAAATTTTAGTAAATTTCTCACTGTAATTTCCAATAGAAATGCCTCCTGAAATTTTTAGTTAAATGGTTCGCATTCCGGAGTTTTTCCGGAATCTTTCCAAGAAAATTTCCGTTCCTTTGCCCTTGTTTCGAAAGCGCCTAAAGCTTCTATTTACATTATATCATCATTTTACGTTAGTAAATGCTTTGTACGCCAAACAGTGTAGTCCATGGGCCGGGACGAAATTTGGTACCACCTGAGGTGACAAAGGCTATTATATATCAAATTAAAGCTTATCATGAGTAGAATCCAAAAATATATGATAGCAAGTCTGTACTGGTAGCTTAAGCCTGTCACGTGACCTTGCATTGGGCAATAGGTACCCCATCCGAAGTAGCCCGGGTAATGCATTGAAATCCCATTGCAGACACAGGAATTCGATCTAAAGTGCCAAATAACATGTAAGGTTAATGTTGTCATTTAAGAAATAATGATTGTGTGTTGATGTAAAGAATTAACAAACAGTATGATTTTATGACGTCACTTCCGGTGAATTATAAGAAATATTTGAAAAATTAATTTNTTCGATATTAACAAGAACCGAGTTTTCCTGGCGACATTTTGACAGCGCTGTGGTCCAGTTTGTACTGTCTCACTAGTAAAATAACAGTACCCATTGAAATAGCTCCATCCTGGATCACAGATATCTGCGAAAATAGGAAATATGTGTTTGCCTTTATCAAAAAACGATTCATGATTAATTGGCTGCACAGATAGTATAAGGCAATTTTGCATGACATCATGAGGTAATTATCTGCTTGCAGGTCAAAAGTGTGAGAGTGAAACTTGTTGCATGCGTTACAACTTTAAATTTCTCTAGAACTTATTGGTTTGTTTACACCTTTTTCAGAATAACATTAAACTGTTCACATTACAAGCTACTTGCTGTGCTTCTGCATAAAACATTTATGTAGACTCACTGACCTGTAAGGACAGCATAGCCCACTGACACGGGATCATATCTGGTCTCGTACAGTTCCTTGACACAGGCTCTAAATCCAGAGGTATTCATGTTCTGAAAATGGAAGGCTTACTGAGCACTGAATTGGTGACAGCTGTTACAAATGCGACGACATCACACGGTAAGGACAGAACTGAAATTAATATTTGCTGGTCCCAGACCTTTCGACAACATGAATGAAACTCTTTTTCAAACACAAGAGTAATGGGACTTTAAAGCTACTGTGGCTTTCGCTCAGGTGAGGAAAAGGTCGGTGACAACTGGTAACAGTTCGAGTAGAGATATTGTTTCCTGACTATAGTACACATAATAAGAAACGAGATAAAGAAGCAGAGTAATTATAAATGTTTTAGCCATCGAAAGCTTTCAACGCTGTCGCAGCGTCTTTCTCAAGTGAACATGCTTGGCGGGAATCTATTTGTCACGTGAGCTTAGTAACAGGTCATTAATTTCAGAACTATTCTCATCCAGACGATGACACTATATAAACAACTGATACTCCTGCGCTCGAAATGTTTAGTATAAATCAATAAAATGAGGACGTCAAAGAAGCTCAGCCACGGTTTGCGCATATTGAAAAGTTTAGCCTCAATTTTTCAAATTCGTCGTTTGTAATCCGTGTCAATCTTCTCCATCCTTAGCCATCCTTGTTCCGTTATGGTTTATCATTATGTCTTTGGTGTTTTTCTATCTTATTAAACTGTTATGATTTTTAGGTGTTCCTACCATTTAAAGGTAATTTTGTATGTGGCCAAAATAACTCAAAATATCGTGACTGAGCTCCTTTAGCATAGCTGATCAAGGGGGGAAAGAAAATAACTTTTGGTTTCGCGTCAAGTGTCCTTTACCCCTTTTGTGCTTCTTTCTTAAATAAGTAATGCCCGCATTACTCGATTACCCACTGTAACTTTAACAAGTTAATGTCAAAAAGAAAGTTTTACCTCGATCCATGTTGTGATACCGTTATGAACTGGTGCTGAGTTTCCACTTTCCGTTGTACGGTGATTGGCAGATATCAGAACTGATGGTGTTATATTGTAACTTCTTGCAAAGTGCACGAACTGTAAAGTAAGATAGATAGGCAAACTTTTCGTACTAATGCTTTTCCAAACAATTCTATATTTAGCTTTTTGGAACAGTATACTTATATATATTAAATGGAAAGAAAATGCTCTTTGATTGGCGAGATATCGAGTATATGCAACTATGAAATAGAAATAATTGTGGATTTTTGTTCTTAATAAACCGGCTCTGTATTGAATTTTTCCCTATCGCATTTGTTTTTAGTAGTTCTAAACTTTCTTTACGTAATAGGTTTTAGACATGAAATCAGCCTCCTAATTTACTTCTAAATCTATTCGATGCATCAGTTCAAAGCAGTTATAAGATAATCACGCTTCTTCTCAACGTTCGGCACCATTCCATATCCGGAAGTGTTTTATATATACGAGACAGCTCAGGATAACTTACCTGGCAGTAAGCGTTGTTATCTTTATCCTTCGGTGGGTTTGTGTTTGGAAACTTTACAAAGCCGTGTTCAGTGAAGAGTGGCCTATGTAGTTTAGAAAACGCCATCCAGTTCTGTAATAAAGCATATTAACGTCTTAGTATCTGAGTTTCACTGTGACCAACAGGTTTTGCAATGAAAAGATTAGAGGCATTGCTTGATCATAGGTTGGATGGCCGTTGCTCAACGTGTAGATTAGATCTGACAGTTGAGAAATATGCCGAAAGTTTAACGGATAGCCGAGAAATCGTCGAAAGTTTCACATAGCTGAGATTCCAGCACCCCATCGAGGCCCTCAATTTGGAACTCTTTCAACAACATATAGAGTTATATAACGGTTACCATACTTTAGGTAAAAGTAGAGTAAATGTTTTACGTTAAGTGCAGTGGTGCAAACATAAAGAGCGATGTTCCTAGCAGCCAAAAATAAAAATGTTACCCACTATTCTTTTATAGCCATTTTGGCTACATTTTCACAAGTTCTGAGAATTGTAACCAAACCTTTCAATCAACAGCAGCAACAACAACTAGCTTTATTTGCATGACTATGAATACACATACAGTGATGCAAAAGTTCTTGGAAACTAAAATTAAAAATAAGTTTTCATGTTCATAATAATCTACATGCTAAACACGTACCACATGGATGTCTTCATGCTTTCCATCAAAGTTCTGCATTTCACGAAGACAAACTTTGAATGAGTCCTTTGTGGCATCCTCAGTCCAGATAAGAGCGGCATCATACTCTTTACCAGTCCTTAGATGTTCTGATGTCACAAGAACCACGGGATCCTCCTTAAACTTGTCCTGGATTTAAGAAAACGTAACCAGTCCTTAGATGTTCTGATGTCACAAGAACCACGGGATCCTCCTTAAACTTGTCCTGGATTTAATAAAACGTGACAAGCTTAATTCTTTTAAGAAGAAACTCGTTCACTTTGTCTAAACCTTTTTCCAGCTTCTGTACCTATCTAGATGGTGAGCAACATGAGAGGCAGCTCTCTTATGAACACAAGTCTTAATACTACCTTGGGAAAAGTCACATCTGCGCAATTTGTTCCAGACCACCACTTTTGTATCTTGACCACACCCGCCATTCCTTGAGCCGGAGCTCCCTGGTATGCCACCCAGTCCACAGTGGCATAAGGATTAAAGTTCTTTGTAGTCCTTCCAGCCTGCATCGCACAAACTGTGAAGTTCACCGTGTTAACATCTTCAGTCCACGTGGTAATAGCGTCATGGACAGTCTCGGAGTCATTTAAATAAAAGTGACTCACAGTAATTTGGACGTGGACTTTTCTGTCAGGATAGAATCGATATGGCGGGAACACAACTGTTTTGCAGCTTGAATCGGACCATTTTGGGACCTCCAGTTTCACTCTATCGCGGGCAAGTGGGAAACCTGTTTAAGATGCAGTTGAAAGTATTAACTTGAAAAAGTTAACAAGCTGTGGAAAATACCATTCGAGATATTACACCTAGACTCGCATTCCCAAATATGGATGGATGGTAAAGGAATCAACTTTCAAGTAAATAAACTTAGCGAGACTCATGCTCATCAGGACAATGTCAGGATATACTGAGTTGCAACCTCGCCGAATTCAATCCATGCAGTAGGGTTTCAGGACGCAAAAAACTCAGTATACTTTATGCCTACCTATACTCTACGGCACTGTCTTTCAAGAGTACACTTTTTAAAATGCTGTTCCATTAAAAGATATGTAATAAGGAGTCTTAATTGTTCACCTTCGCAGCTTCCAGGATGGTAAACTAGATTGTTTTCCAGTCCCCTGCAGTAGCTTAACTGGTGCCAACATCTGTTGTCGTATGTTGTTCCATTCGCAGTGCACACAGGATCCTGATAAGAGGGGCAGTCTTCGTAACACACACAGCGAGCGTCATGAGCACCATAGGTCTTACAGACTCCAAATGATGGACAATGCACGTTAAGGCAAGGATTGAGATCTGTGAAAAGTAATTTCGTACAAATGAATAAGTCAGTATTAAAACTTCCGCCGTTACCTGTTACCTCCGTCGACAGAAAATAACTTACGATAATAGAGCACTGAAGCTTAGATTTAAACATTAGCTCGTGCTTAAAACAGTTGATAGCACAAGATGCGATGCTGAGTCACTTCGAAGGATGTCCACTTATCTGTTCGACGCATCTTAGTAAGCTTTTGCTCGACCATATTTTCATTCATTGGCAGTTGCTGGAAAACTGAGTAGTTTAAGCAATGAAGTTATAGAAGTGCTAGATTTTCTTTTATTCTAGTCTAGATGGAAGACAAAATAACAGCTACCTCCAATCACAACGTAGCTAACAGACAGAGGATCGTGTTGCCTTCCTGTTCCACTCATGTCTTTGACGCAAATCCTCATAGATGTGAGATCAACTTCCTAGAAAGAAAGCAAATTTTCAATGTCAGTTTTATCATTTTTTTCATTGCCGAGCCTGACTATGTACCTAATTTGAACTAATCTATAACACGTGATGAAATATGGTTATATCTACCTCCACCCAAGCAGTGATTATGTTGTTTTCTTGTGGAATAAGATGATTCACTTGGCGATTGTAATAGTGATGGACAGATACGAGGACAGCAGGTGATGAATAAAAAGTGGTGTTGAAGTCCACTTGCTGCGAAGAGAAATACATTTTATTTAGCGGAATGACTTACACGCTTGCCACAGTTCACTATTCTTGGTTTTGTTATTTTCCAGTCTGAAACTGTCTGCTTCCGTGGAGAGAATAAGTACGGTTAGTCCTACCTATGCTAAGGAGAGGATAGTCAATGAGGGGGTGAATAAGTTTTCGGATCGACGGATTTGGCCTTAAAAAGCATGCGGATTGTGGATTTTTGCGCTAAATCGAGTGGAATCGCGGATTGGATCGTGGATCAGCTGTCAATTTTGGCGCGGATTCCGGATTCTGCCTGTCTTGATGTTTGGATCTTGGGTCCTAAACGAAATTTGGATCATAGATCTTTCTTAAGCCCTGGTCGGTATGTTAATGAGCTCATCCGATTATTTCTTTTTTCCAACAAAGCTCATTTCTTTATTGGAATATATAGTTATTATAATTGATTGAATAGTTGATGGAATATAGTCACATAGTTACTGGAATTGTACTGTGTTATAGTCATCAAGTATGTTTCCTTGTTTACTATTTGTGCAAAATTAACAATGCATTCACATTTACCGGCTTACTTTTGAACTTTTACACTTCTGTTTCCGGATGTGGTCCTGGTTTCGGAATTGAACAAAAATATTGGCGGATCGACGGATTTGGAAAAAAAAGGCACGGATCGGCAGATTTGCATACCCCTATTCACCCCCTCGTCAATAGAATACTAATTTCTGCGTAGAAATTTAAATATTTCAACCACACAGATTTCCCCATTTTCTTTTCGCGCAGTCGAAGTGGGCTAAAGTTTAACCAATGACTGATACCAAGCTGGTAAGACACGGCAAAAACAAGAACAACAAGAACAACAAAACAAACACATATTTCAACAAGATGACTGACAGATGCATGTCAGACACACTGACTTGGCAGAATCCATAGTTGTTGTCAGCAGTTGGAGCGCCACTGTTAGGGAAAACTGCTTCTCCTGCCAACGTGAAATTAAAATCAGAGCCATTTCCAAGGAAAGCAAACCAGTCCTGCCAAAACAAAATTAACAAATACATATATATAGCATGATGCAATATTAAAGCAAAAATGGCATTTTAAATAAGTTATAACTAATCAAAATCTCTCTCCAGACAAACTTGAATTCTCTCAGTATGGCCTTACTAAACAACGCAAAGTTGGAAGTTGGATATGATTCAATCTCAGTTGATGCTCAGGCATTGTCTAACAGTTCCAGACGCATAACAAGATGAGGTTCATTTACTCACCACAATTGTGTCTTGGTGCTGTCCATCAAATGGCGAGAATTCTCGGACACAAACGTCGAAACCTACAGAATTCACGTTCTCAAGCCAAACCCACATCGCGTCATCAGGTTTTGTGTCACGTGTGTACCTAGCGGAGACAAACACAGATGGCCTTCCACTAAAGCTCTGCAAATGGTCAAGAACCTGTGTTAGCATGATTAAATAAGAGATTTCCTAGACTTGGCATACGGGTGAGTTGTGTTCCAAGATGGAAGATATTAGGCATTTGCTTGCACGTTCTGCTGACGCATCAATTGGGAAGATGGAGGGTCAGTAAGAAACTACAGAAGTACCGTGGAATATCCTACTTGATGTTACAGTACATGTATACGAGTCAGTGCTTGCAGTGTGACAGAAAGGATATCAGGGTGGAACAGCGATGATAGTATTCCACACGAGAAAGCACTGTATAACTGTTGTCCATGCATGCCAGACATATGTTTGGTGATTTCCAATTGCTTTCCAAAGACTTTCAAATTTCTCAATGCCATGAACATCGTTTCTAATATCAGTTTTGTAAAGGACTGAGTAATAAATCTGAAGAAAGTTTCAAAGTATGCTGAGGAAGTTACTGGACTAGTCTTGTCTTGGTCGTTATAACATTTTGTTCGTTCAGATCAATTTTATGAAGTACACGTGAAGGCGAATTTTGTAACATCGATATTCTAGGCCACTTTGCCTTGTAAACCACATTAAATACAAAGGTGAAGATTTGAGTTTGATATCAAACATGTATAGTTCATTCTCGAGGTAGCTTACTTACATGGAAGCTTAGAATTACAAGATACGCAAGTAATAAATATTTATCGACGCTAGTTTTATGAGTGTCAACATCCAACCTTCAGTCCTGAAACTCAGATGATGGTTTTAGAAACCTCTCTTCGAGTATTCCTGCTGCTTAACCTCCTACCATACAAATAATGATGATCTCTTATAAGAGCAACCTCAGTGACTGTTTTTACTTGTTCTGGACGACGAATAAGTTTTTTACTGACCTGCTTGAACGCCACTTTGTTGCACTTGCTTTGTGTTGTCCAAACTCCATCAATAGTAACACTTCCTTGTATTATTTGTGGATGGCTTTGGAATGCCAACCAGTTTACGACTCCAGTTCCATTTGTCCCAAAGCCTGTCTCACGTGTACACACCTTGAACCCACGTGTCGTCATTGACTGAACCCACATAGCGGAAGGAGAATGAACTCGTGTAAACTCCTCACCATGGCTCAGTGACACGTGAACTTGGACCTAAAAAATATGCAGAAGACATAATTAGAGATATACGTTACAGGTCGACAGTTTGTTACAGAAAAAAAAGAATATGTGTGCCCCCTGCCGTCTTGTACAACTAATTGGTAGCTACTGCTCACGATGTTTGTTACCAACAGATTTCAGCCTTCCTCAAGTTGTGCAAAATGGTAATTTTAGAGTTGAGACTCTATGAGCCGTAAATTTTGAATTACCCAGACATTTTGGAATAGTGAAAATTATCTTCGTTGTAGAAAAAAAAAAGCAACTGGCATTAGATTGAATCGCTTTGTTTACTGATGAGGTGCCAATACTAAGTGCTAAATAAAAATTTGGTTACCTTACCTTTCCCGATTTACTAAATGGCTCAGGAAATGCAATGTTTTGGCAGCGTGGTAAGCGGCAATGTGGATTAGGCAAACAGCCATTGCCACAGCTCCAGTCTTGAAACGTTTGTGACACGTTGGACTTGCCAGATTGAAAAGAAATCCCTAGAACCAAGACGGCAAATATTGGTATTTTTAGAATCTTGAACTCACTTTTTTAACGGATGATGAGAACATCAGGGAGCGCTGAAAAGCGCCGGGAACTGTCTGTTACCAGATGGGAATTGACCTCTCAACCAATTTCTTGCTTTACATTTACTCTGTTCCAGCTTTTAGCTTCGCATTATTAAGCCTAAAAATTAAATTTTGCTCAACCATAGCTCATTTTTGGCTGATGATTATTGAATAATGTTGATGTTAAATAAATTCTGATTGGCTAAAGACACCCAGCACATTGCAGATAACGCTCTGTTTTAGTACGATCTCTGCGTGTAATTATATTTAATGATAATCATATATCATTCGATCAGTGGGCTTCCTTTAATTTGACACTTTTTTCTGCACTTTTCAGGTTTTGTTGATTTTTGTTTCATACGGCGCAGTCTGTCTCACTGGTGCTGCACAGGAGACGATATTGCGTGTAAACAGAATAATAATTTGTGGGTTATTCGGTGCAGATGAATGACCTTGTGGGTGTCTCAAACAATCAAAAGAAAGGGGAATTAATCATCTTTGCTCTATAAATTTACCACCCAAAAACTGTTTATTTGTCCAACTATGGTGAGGTTTAAGCCGATTAAAGATCTCCGCGGGAAAACACCTCGACTTTAAGCTTACAAAAGTGAACTGTTTGATCCGTGTGAGAACATTTTTACAGTATATTTACTTATTAAATAACAATCGCCGGTTTCTTTCTTGTCTATCATAACCCCAGCGGGGTCCTGTATATTCGTGGTTCGCATGATTCTTTGTATTTAGGTTTCTTTTTCTCTTTGGAAAATATGAAGGGTAACTCAAAAGATCACTGTGTATTTATTATCAGATCTTTTTTTTTTTCTTTTTTGCGGCTCCAGCGTGCGAGTGTAGTTGAGTGAAAGAGAGAAGAAGGTTTTTCTTTATAAGCCGATTTGCGTGCTAACATACTTGTGAACTGGGCTACAGAACTATCCAACTTTGATTGCACGAAAAGTTAAAGAGCGCTTAGTTTGATAAAATTCTGTTATGCCTATGACTTGGCAGGGGAACGTAAATTGCGGTAATTAAGGTAGGACTAAGGCAAACCAAGGGAAAGTAAACGGCCTGTTCAACTACGTTGGACTCTGGACGGGATCAAATGTTCATGAAAGTATAATAATTTGTTCCATCTAGACTAACTTCACTTGCTAGTAATGTTGACGATCGGTGTAGGAAAATTAATTGCAAGTCAAACAGAGGAAGGCGAGTGCGTATCCGGCTGCACGCTTTCAGATTTAACCCCCTGTGGGGTAGACAATTAGTAAAAAGTGCTCCTGTAGTTGAGCTTTAGGAATTGAACAGCTTTAATGTCTAAGATGCTTAAACTTTCTAAAGCGATTTTCCTTTGCACAGAGACTTGCCGACAATTTTGTTGGTTTTCAACTGGTTTGTCATCTCTAGAATTAAGTTGAAATCTAGCAACGATTTCCTTATTTTAGTCGAAGTGAAAATCAAAAACAATAACTGTGAATTTATAATCAGATTTATCATTTTATTGCGGCTGCAGCGTGCGAGTGTAGTTGGGTGAAAAATCGCTTAAATCGCCAACTTTACTTCATACTTGGTCGCTCAGTCATGGATGATTGTACCGCAGTAAGCAACTTAGCACATTTCTTGGACTTGTACCATGCGCAGGTCAGGTTTAAAACACTTTCATAAGTCAGACAAGATGACAAACTGATTCCTTAAATGTTATCACGAAACGAGTGCGAGTCTTATTTATCACGAAAACAAAACTGATGTTACTTTCTACTGTCCTTAGGCCATTTCCGAGCTACCTTGTAACAGTTNCAGTTTCTTCCCAAAAACCCATGAAGCGTGCATTTTTTTCTGGTCTTCAGTTTATTTGCGGAAGAATGAAAAGGGAAAAGGGAGTGTATCGATTCGATGTTCTTGCAAAGATGAAAGCATTTTGAAAAAAACAAGAAACAAAAAAGACGTCAGAAATCATGATTAACATCTTGGTACAACTTTAAGAGAAGTCAACATTAAGATGTGACGAATTAAACGGCAAGATCGTTAGATTGTTCACTTAGTTAGTTGGCACGCCCACCCATCACTGAAAGGAGTAAGCACCGAGTGGCGCAGAATTTTCGCTTTGGTCGTTCTCAAAGAACCAGTTAATTTAAAGAATGGATTTTTAAAAGTGACCACAGCCTCACCTTTTGCTGTAAAAGTGATATTTACCCAGGTAGCGAAGAACAGCAAAATTGAAAGAGAAGAGCAGGGTCGAACCTTCATTTCAAAGCACCTCATCTTGCCAAGTGATAAGATGCACTGTTCTCTGGTTCTGTCAACCTCTTACTTTATAACAGCACCTCAAACTGGTTTAATGCGTATGCAAATAGCTTAATATAATATTATGTTGCTTGGCAGAGAATAGATCCATCAATTTTTAGGTCAGGTTTAAATCACTTTGAAGAAGACAAGCGATAGTTAATTCCTGGAATTTTGTCACGAGCTCGGTAGAGATCACGAAAGTGAAAAACTTCTATTGTAACCGCTTTAACTGTGAAAATGACATCTCAAAATAATGTCATAACGATTAAAAATGTTGTAATATGCAGACTAAAGTGGCGGCTGATTCCTGGTTGAGGGAGGAGATTCAGGAATAAAACACAAATAACTGTATTTTTTAAAGTGACTGTTTAATATGATTAAATGTTCAGTCTTTTTTGATCGTGAATCTTCTCGTGACGGGGGATTTAAGTTTGTTTGTTTTTTCTCAGAAAGATAATAACTGGCGGAGTTTTAATTCAAGCAGATTTGCAGCTAACGTTTTGTGTGCTTTACATTGTAATTCCAGGAGCTTGTATCACGACTATTGAAAGAGTGAGGAATCATAAGGCAGTGATATCATTGAAAAGCTATTCATATGGAGATCAACATCGGATTGATTAGAGAAATAATATTGTGTGTAATCTATGTATATAAACAAAATATTGAAATTCTTTTGGCAATAATATCTTGCTTTATTTAATCTACACGAAAGTTAACTGCTTATATTTACAAAAAAAAAGAAAAAGTAGTCGAATCAAGCTAAAACTCCTGTAATGTGCTAACCTTAACACTAAGTAACTCAAGGTGGACCACACGAAGTCAACACGGCGGACATTTACAAGTACATGTTCTAAAATAACTCTTTAATCCCGGCATGCTTCGGTCAATGACGAAGCTTGCCTTGCGTGACACGGTCACGCTAGATATTACAACGCCTAAGAGAAATCATTGCAAAGTTTGCCGTTAATTACTTTTAGATAACGGCTTTTAACTACAATCAAATTAAGAGATTTTTAAAACGCTGAACAAAAATTTTGTAACCGTAATGTAAATGAGTGCATACAAATAGTAGTCCGCTACGGTACTGTGTTAAGTTTTCCGTCGATTTGTCGAGGAATTCATAACAAAATTCACTTTATTTCCTATTAAAGAGGTTCGCAAAGATAAGACAGGGCTTGATCATGATCTCCTAAGTTTTTAACGAACGAAGACTTTCTAGAAGTTGCCAGGGGACACCCCCACGTTATAGTCATCGCATTCCCATCTTGTGTCTCCAGGAGTAATCAAAAAGTGATAAGAAGACTCCACAAAAGCGGGGTGGTTGTATAACCTATCTTGATCCCTCATGTGGCCCCATTTGCTAACGTTATAGGATCCATCCCAACCCCACCTACTGCACACACCAGCTAATAACGAGTTGTCATCATCCATTTCCACGTACAAGCCACAGGAAGCTGGCATGGTATCGGTCTGTCCGCTGAAATACTGGACTACAGCTTCACCAGCGCTGTTGTTTGCAGTGGTCACGTGGAAAGTGCGTTGCTTCCTGCAGAAGAATCTCATTTGAGTGAAAGACAAATGTGTTCTCAGCTGATTCATGGCAGTCTTCGTGAGGAACTTCTGAGAGTTGCTTACTCCTCGGTATGACGTCTCAACTGGGAAATTAAAACGTCTAGAGGAGCTGCCCACCACAACATCAGAGACAAGAAGCCAACCACCTTAAAGTAAATGTCAAGTTTTATTTTTTAAAATAGCATCGTTATTAACAACTTACTAAACGCACTCGATGAAGATGTAGTTGAATGCTGCTGCGAACTTTTGAGAATAATGCGTTTGGACAAAAATAACAACCGTAAAACACGTGCTTTACTGATTATAATTTAGAAAAATTATGGGATTTTATGGTAAATTTTTTAGGTAAATCTTGATGTTGAAAAAATGCAATATTATGTTATCCGGTTTTTGTTTGGGAGCCAGTGAAGTAATATATCAAACACCAGAGACAGTGTTTCATCGGGATATCCAAACACCGAGAAGAGAGTTGAAAATTTGACGCGCTGCAGAGTATTTTTGAGCAAATTCGAGGCTTTTGGATAGCCGAAGAAACGCTGTCTCGAGTGTTTAATATATATTCTCAATCGAAACAGAAACTAAGGAGTAAAAGGAGAAGTAAAATCGTCAAAGTCTATGCTAACAAGAGATTATCAAGGTACCTTGATAATCTCTTGATGCTAATTAAGACCGGGTATCCAAACTTACTTCAGAATTGTGATTGAATAAAGCATGCGGGTCAGATTAGTGCTCCTAGAGCAATTACCTATCGATATTAATAAAGAGCCATCATGGCCGCGGATAATGATTTCATGATTTGGAGCCAATTTTGATGTTCAAGAAAATCTAATATATCTAACCGAATTCGCAAAAACATGCCTGCATTGACTCAAAGCCAGTCCCAGCGGCCAGAAGTCCTCTGACCACACCCCCCCTGGCTAGGAGATTGGCCCTTCACGCATGCACGTGGCATGGACCACTCCAGCAGGGTGCCATGTCAACACAGAAGCCTCAAACAAGGTCAAACAACTGAGTAAAATACCCAGAAACACAGTCAATATCAAGCTTATTTAACACGGAAAAATTAAGGTCTAGCTAGTTGGGGGTGTCAGTATAAGACACCCTCCCCTCTCCTCTGCTTTTGTCAGCTGGCCGCCAGCAAGCCACCAGCAGATAGGTCAGTCATTGGGCCATGTGCTCAGCCTGGCCTTGACGGAGCCCCCCCTGGGTTTAAGGTCGCTGGCTTATCGCCCGAATCCAGGGGAAAACCTAGCGGGCATGTTTTTGCGAATTCGCTCAGATATATTTTCCGGGCCTTGTGTAGCAGCCAGGGCTTCGAATTAGGTAACTGGGAGTGTGATATTGTTTTTAAAGATCAATTTCTTGTAATGTTAAGGTAATTTTTCTTTTACAATTTCTTTTACATTCGAAGCCCACACGCAATGTACAAGAAACTTTTACCTTCGTCAGTTGTCATGTCACAGTAGACATTTAAAGGGTTTCCATTCTTCTCAGGGTCGATCCAGTACTTGCCATCTTTTCTACAGACCCCAAGGTCCCGGATTTCCTTACAGGAATGAGCCGGGAAGTGAGTACAAACCTAGCTTTGCTACAACAAATGAATTATTAGCAAAATTCCACTAGCATACTGATGCAAATGCTACAATCTGATTGGCTGAGCTAATCGTATACTGTCAGCCATTGGAGTGCAGTAACCACAGGTCGTCCACATAATGACAACGTTTTCTAGTTTTTCTAATGTTTCGACGAAGATTTAGAAATATTACTGGATACTAACATTCTCAAAAACGGTAAGGAAAGTAGGCTGATCTTAAAAACTCAAAATTTGTCAATGAACCTATAAGCGTGCGTGCACAAATGCAAGTTTCAAAAAAAAACATTTCAATCCGCGCAATTTTTCCAGAGCCCGAACTCTAATACTCCGTTGAGAACTGATTGGAAATCTTTATTTGAAGAAAATTTAGTTACTGAGAAGTTAAGTTAGTTTATTCGCTCTCAATTTCTATTAAACAATTAGATTATGAGCTCGAGATTACTATCACAATATAGAAATCGAGAACGAATAATCTAATTGTTTTAGTATAAATCTACTAGGCGTTCAAAACTTTATCTAAATCCTGTTCACAGACACTTCAAAAGCGCAAAGAAGCGGCCGTCATTTTGTTAACAAGCACACACTGCTACGCTACTCACTATCTATATATCACAAAATAGATAATGAGTAGCGTAGCCAATCAGAGAACGGCATTCGTGATAGAACGCTAGTAGATTTATACTAAAAAGTGATAGTTGATGAGACTAAGCGCAAAATCTAACTGGTAATTTGTAATGAAAACAATCGCTTGCTTGAATGCCCTCGCAAGAATGGGCAGGTTTTGGACATAAAAACCGGCTCTAAATTCTGCAGCCATAAGTCAGATATGAAAAACCCTTTGCCCTAGAATGAGCTTTGAATGTGTTTTTTTCCTATAACAGCCCAGGTCTCCTCTAACTATCTCAACTTACGCACATCGATGTAGGTCAGAGTTTCCGCCTCAAACACGCCTGCACTTGCTGCAACGCAAATGAAGTACCCCTCATCGCTTATTTTCACGTCTCTTAGGACTAAGACACCATTGGTTTGCAGACTTCTTTCAGCTGGTAGCTGTGCTCCATGCTTTTTCCAGCTCACGACTGGTTTTGGATCACCGGTTGCACTACAATTTAATGTCAGAGTATCGCCTTTTCTTATAACAACTCTTACAGGTGGCTTCACGTGGAAACGAGGAAGAGATACAACAACCAAGAGAGAACTTTTTTCCGTAGTTCCTACCAAGTTGACGGCTGAGCAGAAATACGTGTCTGAATCAGTCTTGCGGACATTAGAAATTTGTAAACCACTGTTGTTATACTGCACCCTTTCTTGTGGTAATTTTCCAGATAATTTTCTCCAAGTAACCACTGGAGACGGATGTCCAATCACGTGGCAAGACGGAAAGGTGAAATTACTTCCTTCAATGGCGTAATGAGGTCCCGGATGAAGAGAAACGCGAGGATGAACTGAAAAGTAGCAAATTCTGATAAATGGACAATTATCGTCATTTAATATTACAGCACATATAGAATGTTGTTTACTTTAATACCTTATCATTTAAGTAAACAACATAAAACTACGCGTTTAATTTTATGATTAGATTTGAGAAGATTTAAGGAAATCGACTGGACCCAATAGCTGATTTTAGTAAAGTTATAGTTTTTTTTTTCATTCAATGTACGCCAACGCGACGAAAAACAACTGAAAAAGTAATTTTTCAGTGCTGAGTACGTACCGAAGAATTGGGGAATATCAAGGGAAAACACTGTACAGTTGTAAGGCTTAACATAAGGAGAAATGGGAGCTTTTAACAAAGGCTTTGACTTGCATTTCTCCCTGCCTTAAGACAAACAAAAAAATACTAATTCATAGACAGTTTGAATGTCTAATAAGTTATTACTTGACATGAAATTCTGTAGTGAAGCGAGAAATATTCGCTTTCGATTAGTTAGTTAGAGAAAAAAACTGATATTCAGTATCATACCTTGATTGGTGACAAGATATTAATGTGAAACTCAAGAATTTCAAATTTGTGGTGCCAATACGAGAAGTATTCTATCAGGGAGCGTCAATCCCGTATGAAAGTCACACATCATTTCTATTAACCAAAAATGCGTAAGATTGTTTATCGGCCCAAACTTTCCTCGTTAGAGACTTGCCGTTTTTAACCGTTAAATCAGGTTTTGGCTGCCATGACGCTAACTGGGCCTTAGTTTTGCTGGAAAAGCTATCTTTTGCCAAGATTAAGTACAAAAATGTAGACTATTTTAATTTGGTGTATGCACACTAGCCAAAATTTGGACTTTGCGATTGCGCGTTCCGAATTTTTGTATTGCCCTTTTCCATTCCTTTTTCTCGGCCCTTTGACTCTGGCTACCTTTTGTGTCTCATATCCTTTCTGGCTCCCGAAAAAAGTTTGGCGTTAATTATGGGCAAAGCCTGGAAATGGGACCTTGATCAATTATAGGTATAGTGGGCCATTTTACCACCATTTTCGCACCAAAACTGTAAACGTTGTTTTTCACTTTGCTACGTCAGAATGCCGCCAATATCCAAAACCGACTGTTGTGCATATAGATCTATCCTAGCTCTACCATCTGCTTGTCAAGAATATCTGGTGACAAATAAAATTGATGATGTCACAAGTGGTACAAAAAGCACGATCATTAAGTAGCCGCATATGGCTCATTGGGCGTCAAAAGGTTAATTATTGACTTACAAGTTGCTGGTAGAGTTATCTATGCTTTGATACATGCAATTTACCGTTTACTACAAGCCGAGCCAATGACTGCGCCTGCCCTAAGATGTTGATCGCTGAACACTGATACAAGCCCGAGTCACTCTCTGTCAAGTTCTCCAAATGCAGCATAGCTTCTGAAAGTGCTGATTGAGTGATTTCTGAGTGATTGTCCGCTCTGGTCCACACTACTGAAGGCTCGGGATTACCACCGGCTGAACACCGAAAGGAGGCTGCTCCTTTCTCGTTAACCGTTAGTTTCACAGGAGAAATGACGACACCAGGGGCTGACAGAGATTCTCCAGGCTCTCCTTTAGCTCCCGGCATGCCTTGGGGCCCCATGCTTCCTTTGATTCCTTTGATTCCTGTTTCTCCTTTCATTCCAACAGGGCCCATAATGCCTTGCTTGCCGCTTATCCCAGGATATCCCATGATTCCTTTATCGCCTTTCTTCCCAGTTCTTCCTTTCTCTCCCCTTCTTCCTCGGGCTCCTTTTTTTCCTCTCGCTCCAGGTGGGCCGGGAGGGCCTGGGAGTCCATTTGAACAGGTGTGACCCTTTGACGGATGGAGTTGCGACAAAAGTTTGTTGATTTTAAGTATCACGTCCTCTGTGCTTTGGTCGCCTGTTGCGTTTTTGGTAAGATCAGCATGTCGCTTGTTTCTTCGAGGGTTATTGGGTTGAAATTCTGAGAAAAAGAAGAAAAGATCTGAGGTAATTTAGTGTACGTAATTGACTTATGTAGATCTCAAAATGTCCGCAATGGACATGAGGCTTTGGTATACACTGCAACTAAAATTCAGCGGTTAGGACATCCCAAATGACCGTCTGCACACTAACTCTCTGATCATTTCCAGCTTTTAAAAACTCTTAAAATCTCGTATATCGTATAATTTAGCATCTCGAAAGCGCTTGATAATTGTTGATTGCCACTTTGCTGCTCAAACATGCTTAGTTACTTACCGTTGATTGATCGGCAATGTTTTTAGATTAAATGATTAAAAAAATACCTGTCATTCTTGATTGCCGGCGGACAGAAATCCTGCACGTACCCTCTCAAAACTCAAAAGTAAAAATGGTATATATAGCATAAAATGTTTTTTTTTTACGTATGTGCATTCAGTCTATCAATTCTTCTTTTTAACGTTTCGTGTAAACTCGACCGATAGAAATATTATTTGGCCTCCGATGCAGTAGACGCTTCGTATCTGATAAATACGACACTGAGTCTAAAACAAAGCAACTGAAATGTTGGGTAGGTCTTCCGAATGCTTCCACTATCGTGTAACTTTCAAGTGAAAATGAAAAACACAACATTGTCTCCTGGAAACAGTAAACGAAGGCAACCCGAAAGAAACAAGCTTACCATGGATCGCCTGATTCTTGAACAAATTCCTGTTTCCATCGTTAACAATCGTCTTCAGTCCCTCCACAACTTCTTCAAGCTCGATTATTCTTTCCTGGTGCTGGTGTAATACAAGCTCCACTCTGAGAAATCCGCCACAATATAGAAAAACGGACAACACTGAAATAATGACAATGAAAGAACCGGTCGAGCTGTTCTTTTGAACAATCATTTTGAAACATTTCAATGCTTAATCCGCGTCTAACAATTAGATCAGATTACTGTCTGTAGCTGTGGAGACGCGGTGACCTCATGCCTAATGCGGCTCGCCTCGAGCTTTCGAGCGGTCCGCGTTCGAGCCCTCTCTGGGAACATTGTGTTGTGTTTTTAGTCAAAATATGCTACTCTTTCTTCACTCCTCTCCACGAAGGTATACAAATGGGTATCGGTGAATTTAATGCTGCTGGTAACCCTGCGAAGCATCCCACCCAGGAGAGAGATCAGATACTTCTAGTCGGTCCATGCTACTGAAACGCGGTCAGAAAATATATCTGGGGCCTGTTCAATGACAAAAGAAAAAAAGAAAGAAAGAAAGAAAAAAATAGCAATAAATAGGAATTTGTAGTGGCACATTCCGCGGGGAGGTTCTTCGTCCTCTGTTCCCTGATCGAACTGGCATTTAGCATTTTTAATTTGTTTATTTGTGGAGGGAGGATAACACGCCAAGTATAAGATTCGAGCCCAGGCCGCATTGGTGGGAGGCGAGCGGTCTCACCACTGTGCCATCCCTGCGATAACAAAACTGGACGCGTGACTTCCTTCTGGATTAAATGCGAAAAACAACAATTGCAAGGACGTAAGGGACGGTGCTTGCTCAATGTCAGTCTTACGCGACCATCCCAAACAGTCAATATCGATCGGTTTAGGTTCTGCTGTTCAGTAGTCCTGTGCAGTGGTTTTTTTTTTGCTAATCTTATGTGCTATGATCGAGCAACACTGGGAACCAGCGTGTTGAACGCCTTGCAGTTTATTTTGTTGTTTGACTACCAGCGTGCTACCATAGTCGAACTCTGAAAACAGTGAAGACTTCATTTGCGAAAGATATTTTAGACAGATCATCTTCTGGAGCGAAAGACAGGAGCCTTGGTAATTGTTTTAACTACTTCAGCGTTTTTGACGACTTTGGCCTGATCAAGAGTTCCTTTTGGAAACATTTCACAAAATGCCGCACGGAACACCGAGCTACAATCCTATGGCATTACGAATTTGGAGAATGTTAAAGAGAATGGGGATAACTTCTCCACGAGGCATATTCCTCTGTCTAGTCTTCTGGAGCTTATTCATCTGCTTGACGTATTTTATTTACACCGAATCAAGCAGGTTCCTTGACAAGATTGAGGTTAATTATAAGAAGTTCGACATATCTAAACTGTCAAAACTGGGTCCTCTGAGATCAACGAAAGACAATGAAACTTTCGATGCTTTGGGCCTCTTCAAGACGTACTGGAATAATAACTCCACTGTGGAGGACCTTTGGAACTATGTAAAAAGCAGAACACGAAATATTTCCGCCAATATACCTGGGTAACACTATATTCCTTTTATAAAGAATGGATCCTGCTTTGCAAGAGTTGGTTAAGTTCAAGTTTTCTTACTTCTTTTGCATACGAAATAAGCAATTATTCCAAGCACGAGACAGATGCTGGAACCGTTTACTACCTTTGAAATGTGTTGTTTGATGAATGTATGTGTACAGATTATTTGGTCATTGGATTGCAATAGAATGCTTTAGAATTCATGTGAACTACGTAAACAGCTTGGAAAAAGCATTCACTACTTACTCCAACATATATAATTACACGCACGTTGCATCTTGTGCTGCTTGTGATTATTTCCTGGAAAGGTCATATGAATCACAGAAATATGTGATAACTATGATGTTGAATGCTGGAAGTGCTTTTGAAGCAGCGATATAGCCAATGTTAAAATTTAAATTTCTTATGCTTACATAATTTATGTGCAGGAAAAAATACATATATACAATGATGCTAACATGAAAAAGTTGAAATCTAGGAGATTGCTGATTTAACCTTCGTGACCCCAAGAAAACTTTAATGAAGTAGAGCTCCCGGACAAAAATGTGTCAAATATTGCAAGAATTTTCCCCCAAAAATGCCAAAATAAGTTTTAAAAGTGTGTGTTGCGTGCTTTTCTTCATATCGAGGAGATTTTTTTTATCTGTAAGGGAGACTGGAAGATTCAGTCTGTATCCAGAAGACTCCCAGAAAATCTGGGAGAGTTGGCATAGATGTGTATATTGGAGATGCAATGCACAGTCATGACAATACATGTATGTTTCATGCACTGTTGTCCATTATGGACACATGTTGCAGGTTTCTGCCTTATAATGATTAACCATGCTGGGTTACACAAGGAAATCTGTCAGGGTTCTATATTTCATTAAATGTTAATGTTTAAAGAATAGGAGAAGGCAAATTTGTAAGGCTGTAATACTTGTTAACAGGCAGTGAGTATTGTCATGCTGCTCCATGTTGTGTTACTTGTTGGGTGATCTCCGGTCACGTCATTACATCATTATTTTACTAGAGTAGTTCCCGGGCGACAATGTGCTCTTGTATCTTGTGTCTGTCTGCCATTAAAAAGTATGATTCCAGTTGCTCGAAACGTGTTGTTCCTGTATCAGTGTAAGATTGCTACAGTCTTTCTTATTTTAGTCCAGTCAAAACAGGACCTCCAGTCAACTAAATGTTATGTAGTATTATGATTTATTCCACTCAAAGTTTCATTTCCTTTGCACTCGTGTGGTAAGGTCGTGGCTTCAAGACCCGCTCTGATCACTAAGCTGGAATTGTTTCTTGGTAGACCCTTGTTCAACTCCTTGGTCATGCTTGTAAATAGCCAACATTTTCAAGCCTTTTGTGTTTAGTTGAAATACTTTTTTTTTTCTTTTAGTGTAACCAGCTACATGCAGGTGTAGCCAAGTGCATTGACCACTACAAACAACATTTGATGTCTTGGCATTGTTCATAAAAATATAATCCTAATAACATTTTTACCCTGTGCCAGTCAGCACAGGCACCCAAAGCTACCACTATGATAATACTATGTTCATGGAAAACTAAATTGTTGGGAACAACTTTACAAATGACATTTGTCTGTGATTTGTTCCTGTGATAGTCAGTCAGAGGGTAGCATCATGCATGGCTCTGTTCCAGGATATTCTGGAAGTGACAAGTTATATTTTTTAGCCAATGAATCAGGCACAAATCTTCCTCCTAGAAAGTGAAATCTCCCTTGGAAGTGTTTTGCACAAAGCTTTGGAGCTGTCAGGGAAATCAAGAAGTCTGGCTGAATTCCACTTGGATTTCCATCTTCAACGTGCCATCCTGATTTAAGCAACAACAAAAAAATATTACATCAATAACATGTTTACATTTTTAAGAGTGGGTATCCCTGTTGGATTTAAGGTATTATTTTACAACATTTCTCTTTTAATTAAGAGTTTCACTTGTTATTTGTCATTACAGTCAGCCAATAATAACACATACAAGTAGCAGAAATACATGCATTTAATAAATGAACAGCAATGGAACATCTCCAAGATGGAAACCAAAGACCACTTCTTGTTATATGGGAGTGTTCATATTATAGTGGAAGAGATTATGAGAATAGTGGTTTGTCTGTGGCCAAGTGAACTGTATGTAATTAAGATGTGTTGATGTTATGGCCAGGACTAAGAAGAGGTTTGACAGTATATACAGGTTATTGACCAAGCTTGAGGTCAAGATGGCTGAATATTAGCCAAGTTCTTTTCTGTGTGAACAAGGCCAATTTATCCAGCCAGCTTGAGTGAACAAGCTTGGTCAATAAAGGATTTGTTATATGGAAAAAGAAGACCTTTTTTTGGTGGGGAACAGCGGATAATCCTGACACGGCAAGATAGCACCATCTTGCCCACTCGGGTAGCCAGATACAACGCAGGATTTGGTTCATCTTGCCCGCTCACGGAGCTAGCCGTATAATAATGATAGTACATAGTTTACTTCCTTGCAACAATACGACACCAAACAATATACTACCACTGTACAGCAATGCAGATTGAATTCTATAGAAACACACAATGCAAGCTGTGCTTAAAGCCACATAGGATGATGTGAATTGGTCCAGAGAAAGCCACGCACACATCAAGAGTTAATTCAGAGCCACAATTAAGGACATTCATCAACACTTTTCACAATGCTACAGTGAAGTAACACTCAGTAAAGGTGGTGTGATAAACATTTATTGGCTGAGGTAGGCTCGGCTGTACAGGAAAATATTGACTTAAGGGCTTGTGGTTATTTTGCATCAGCTTTATTGCATCCACTCCACATGCCATGACCTTGAGTCAAATATTTTCTTGTCTTGCCTGATATTTCTACTAATTACTTAATAAACTCATGCTATCTTTGAATATCTTTCCAACTAACCCGATGGAACATCAATCGAGCAAATGGGAATTTTGACTTCCTTTAATGCTGATAGCACATCTCCAAATGGTGGTCGGGCATTCCCCTTAAAACTGAAGCCAAAAATGGCATCCACAACCAACTTATACTCAGCATCTATCTGTGTTGCTGTTGGTATATCATTGATGAATGGTATGTCCATCTTTTCACACTGCGTCACAAGACTTTTAAAGAGTGGTTTTTCCGATTTTTTGGGATAATATATCTTTGGATTGTATCCCTGATAAATGAAAGCAAATATCAGTCAAACAACTGGTTCATGACTTTACATACATGCATGCGCACTGATATTTGGGGACCTGAAGTTAATTCACAACAGAATTAGGTTAATCTAAATAAAATATGTGGATGACATTATTCTGATGCAAGCTAAATGCAAGATGCCCTGGAAGACATCAAGCTATAAGTGGGAGATTGGGAATAATAAATAATACATTCCATTAACCAAATCAGTAACACACAATGTAAACATTAACTCTTGATTAGGCCTTTCTTTTAATATTTGCACCTCCCTAGCAGGAGGGAGGTGAATGTAGTGATCTTGCAAATCCATGCACGGGTATGTCTCCATGAGGCGTTTAAGGTAAATCCCAGGGGTGTATTTTTCGAAAACTGTAGAGGTATTTTCCTCTTATTTGATGCTCTGAAGGGCTCTCCCAGGCTGTGGCCTGCAATTTCTCCGGGGACCTGTTACCAACTCTAGCTAACCATTACTTGTAAGTTGGACATGTTAGGACTACAGTACAAAAGCTCAACAATAAATACTAAAACAGCTGGATCAACTCACGAACATCTTGAGATGTCTAGCTGCTACCAGTCCGTCTCCTCCATTATTTCCAGGGCCACTACAAACCAAAACTTTGGGATGACTTGTATCTCGGGGATAAGCCTTGGTTACAGCCACAGCCACGCTCAAACCAGCTAACTCCATCAACTGATCAACACTGAATGAATACTCGTTGAAGAGTTCTTGATCGATGTTCTGGGCCTCTTCTTGGCTTAAATATTTCATGGTTGGCCTAACTGTGCAGAAGGTCCTAAAGTGGCGAGGGAAACGACTACAAAGGGAGGAAATTCGGAATATCATAAGAGCACTAAATCCGCCAAAAATACCAAGAACGAAAACTTTCCATGCCATGCCCGCGATGCCAAGGACAGGCGATTATTCAGCGGTTATCAAACAAGGTCTTCCTTCCGGGGTGGGGAGGGGTGGGGAGGGTGGGGAGGGGGTAGGGTTAATCAAAGTTCCATTTAAAAGTAGAAATATCCCTTAGTTTCGTTGTCCTTCAAATCAATTACTCCACGAAAATCACTTGTTTCCGGGCTTGAAATGAATGATCCGGTTCCCTTGTTCCCCCCAAACCCCAGGGAGGCCCTCAACAAAACACCACCAATATGACGAGTAAATAGAGCCAGAATGAAACTAGTCAGTCGTGACTTATTACACTCATGAGAGACTAACAGAGAGACAGAGAAGAAAAAAAAAAGAGAAAAAACCTGGAACTATGTATAAAAAATACAACAACAAGATTAGCCTGGAACGTGACCAAATTAAAAACAAAACAAAACAAAACAAAAAATTACACAGATAACCCATAGTAACAACTACATTTATTACACTGCAAGCTTCGCGAGCTGGTAATATGGGCCAAATCCTGCATTGTGATTGGCTACCCGAGAGGGCAAGATGGCTCCGTGATCTTGTCCACTCGGCCCGCGACTGTCCGTTGTATCCCGAAAGAAGAGAACTGTTCTTTCTGTCATAATTAGCCATCGTGGCAGGCGTTCAAAGGGGTTTTAGAGCGGAAATGAGAAGCGCAAAGCGCGATCGAACGCCTACCATGTAGGCTATGTCATAATTATAGTACAATTAATTATTAAATCCTTTCATTAATAATAGTGGAGAATTTGTAGTGGGCAAATTACATGTGGATCTGTTCAAATGCGCATTACAACTCAAATTTTCTAAGACTAAAAGTTACAAGCCCTAAAATTACAATTAGAGCCAACTAGTCTAAATCACAGAAATGGTTGTTATCAAAGGGGGGAAAGAAATAGCAATAATTAAGTAAACAAATAAATAAGTAAATAAAATAAGAAAAATGGAACTTAAAAGCCAAAATTCTCAGGAAATTACATAATATATTGACTAAGCTTGTTCGGTTTGTTTGTTTTGTTTTGTTTGTGTGGTAAAAAAATTATAAAATACATCGAAAGCAATAAATAAATAAATATGGGTTGAGATTTATATAATCTTATATCCTTCGTCTAGCGATAGAACAGTATTAGCCCCTAGGGGATTACTTAACTCACATGCACAGCATTCGTTTTCACATAAAGTGTGTCTGCTTGTAAATTTTACCAGTTGTGATTCGTTGGGTATTGAAGTGTGTTTTTGTTTTACTGCGTTGTTCCGAGTTAAGAACACAGCAGACAGCTAAAGGAAAACGCTGCGAAAATGCTGGGCAATATTGTCTTTGAAAATACAACGTTTCGAGAATACATTAGTGCTGACCGGCCCTTTATTATGTAAATAAATATTTAATAATAATATAAAGCTTTCTTGACTTCTCAAAGTTTCCTTGTTCAGGGGAAGTTTCCTTGCTAAAAGTGTTCCTTAGTGGAAAATCTTTAGCGAAAGGACTCTGAAGTAAAACAGATTCATGGGACTTGCTGTTTATAGTCATTTGCGTCAATCAGAAATAATCGCTGATTGTTTCGAGTGGACGCCTATTTTGAAGACTCATCCTGACTCATGAAACTGCACTCGAAATGCGTGGGTAAATCGTTTAGCATATCAAAAGCCAGGCTACACCCAGTTACTGTGCAGATCAGAGTGTGAATCATTCCTCCGCAGTAGAGGCTGAAGCTAAGGGTGGTGTCGTTTGCAGTTCGCAAAGCTATAAAGTTACACTTGTTATCTACAACCTCAAGGTATCTGTAACTAGTTTAATTCGAGGTTTTGTGTTAGCTTTTTGGCTTGTGCATACCATTTCTGCTGCAGTCGAAAAGGTCAAACAACTCTGTTTAAGATTATTTAATCTCTGCATTCATTGCGCCCGTGAAGCTCAGCGCCTCAGTGGCAAAATATACCAGGGTTCATCAATGTTTCCTCATAAACCAGCTGATAATAATTATAGATATTTTTTAGCGTTATGTCGATAAGCTGTAAAGACTTACCAGAAGCTCTTGGTTGTTGGCAATCATTTGTAACGATGCAAGAACTAAACGCATTCACGCGCGAAGCCCATTTGTTGTCTCAATTCGTAGCAGCCTTTCTGCATGGATTCGAAGCGGCTATCCTGAGAATTATTCTAAAGAAAATGCTCAATTTTTTTTTTTTTATCTGTCGAACAAACTGTGACTGTAAAAAAGTTAAAAATTTTGTTATTACCGTAACATTCCAGCACTAACAACATTGTGCATAATTTCTCCAAATTTGCATAGACTGTGCAAGTCGAATTACCATGGCTTATGAAGGGTTCAAGACATTTAAAGTCGAGATAAAGGAAGGCGTCGCTTGGGTAACATTTGACTTTCCTCCAGTGAATGTCCAAGGAAAACCGATGCTTGATGACCTGAATCGTTTGGCTGAGGCCTTGGAGCCCGATCGTTCCATCAAGGTGGTGGTCTTCCAGTCAAGCCATCCGGATATTTTTGTCTGTCACGCAGACATTGACATGCTGTGTGAGATTCCTGCCTCTAAACGCTCCATGGACGACCCTTTGTTATATTTACAAGAGGTGTTACAGCGAATCAGTGCACTTCCTCAAGCTACCATTGCTAAAGTAGAGGGAATGGCCCGAGGAGGCGGACACGAATTCATGCTGGCGTGTGACATGCGTTTCGCCGCTCGAGGTAAGGCGGTGTTTATGCAGATGGAGGTGGGTATGGGCATTGTACCATGCGGTGGAGGGACACAGCGGCTTGCGCGTCAAGTTGGAATGGGTCGTGCCATGGAGATCATTCTGGGGGCCCACGACTTCGATGCGGACCTCGCAGAACGCTATGGAAGCATCAACCGAGCATTGGATCCTGACGAAATTGGGCCTTTTGTGGAAGAGCTGGCCAACCGCATAGGTAAATTCTCGGCGGGATCTATCGCTGCCTGCAAGAGATGTGTGCTGAGTGCAGTGGAGACTCCAATAGAAGAAGGCCTGAAGATTGAGGCGTACCAGCTGGGGCAGGCTATGGCATCCACCCCTGGCGCCAAGAGATTTGCTTATGCCAAGGAACAAGGGCTACAAGATGATCTGGAAACCCAAAAGAATTGGGACAAAGGAGTCATGGACATTCAGTCAATACAGTAACTCACCACTGAACGTTTTCTTGCAGTGGAAGATGATTGTTAATTTACCCTGTTGTTTTTCGTTAGTTTCATCTTCTATCGTTAAAAAATTATCCGTAGATACGAAAGTTGTAGAGTTGTAGAATTCTGCTAATTAATAAATCCAATATTCTGTGTGAAATTAATGGCGACTTAAGGCGACTTAAGGTGACTTAAGGCAACTTTAAGCGACTTAAGGTCCCAGAGTATGCCTTTCTATACTGACCCTCAATGTCCAAAATGGACTTTTCAGATAATCGCAACATGAGACTGCCAAAAGTTGAATTCAAAATTGTTGACCCTTTCGTGGTAACTAAAAATAAATATTAATACCAAAACCTTTTAAAGCAGAGTTGGGTAACACTCAGGGATGCCGGGCAGCATGGCAGAGTTAGTTAATATGTGAAAAGCAAACTGGTTAGCCTCTCACCAGCTGTCCTTGCAGTTCTATATTTTTTATCGTTTTCCTTATTATTTCACTCATTTGTCTTCTGTTTTCCAGGTTCTCCAAAACCCAAATCACCATAAAAGACAAAGTGATCTGCACACGTGTTAATTAATGAATGTAGCTGTGAAATTGCATCTACGGCAGAGAAATAAATAATAACTACTTAATAACCGAGAGTGAGGTCGTTACGGGAAAATTTCAAACTGAGGTCTTGCCGTATTGACCGAGCGATAGCGAGGTTAATACGGTAGGCCGAGGTTTGAGATTTTCCCGTAACGACCGAACGGTCGAGGTTA